AAAGTTAAATTTAAGGGATCCTCCTGTCTCTTATACACATCAAATATATATGTGTGTGTGTGTGTGTGTGTGTGTGTGTGTGCGTTTGTGTGTGTGTATGGATATATATGGTTTTGAAATTGCTTCGATAACAATCAAGTTAAATGTACATTTTAAAAGAGTTTTACCGCCAAAATGGCAGCCATCTTTGAATTTTTGTGATGACGTCATTATTCCGAATACATTTTTTAACGAGAGTGAGGAGCAACTATTTAGCCAAGTTATCTGTGGAAAATATAACATATGAATCATACAAAATAAAAAAAATTCAAGGCAGCCATCTTGGAATTTTTTGTGATGACGTCATTATTCCGAATAAACTTTTTAACGAGAGTGAGGAGTAACTATTTAGCCAAGTTCTTGTTACATTCGATATACATAGCATATGTAAAAGTGACTAAAAACATACATTTGTTTCCCCTACCCCATCTTAATTAGCCCAAAATGGGATATTTTATGTCAAAAATTTAAAGTGTTATAAAAAATATTGCCCAAGCTCTAAGAATGGGGATTTTTTAAATACATGTCAAGCGCGGATCCAGAGTTTACCCTGGCTTTCTCACAAAAATGGGTTCCCATATTGGGAGAGTCATGAGAAGATAGCTAGCTTGTTTTGTCGCTGGAAGATCAATTTTAGATATTCGAAAAGTTTTTGTTTTCTAGATTCTTTGAAATAGACTTCGTGCATTATGAGACGTCTATTATTGAATACACTTTGAACTCATAGTTTTCCTTACTTTTCTATGGACAATTAATAATTATGATGATGAAGAAGATGATGATGATGAGGAGGAGGAAGCTGCGCAAGATTAATTAACAGGCTCTTTGATGTGAAGTGTCAAGCGAGGCCTGTAGCCTAAGTTACGGTTGGGAATTTGGAGACAACGTCGTCGTCAACTGTTCAATGACACAGTCGGACAATAGATTATTTGATATCTGTTTTGTATAGAAAGTAATATGAAACCCATTAAATATCAGTTCTGGCATTCATTTATCTGTCTGTGGAAAATATAACATATGAATCATACAAAATAAAAAGAATTCATGGCAGCCATCTTGGAATTTTTTGTGATGACGTCATTATTCCGAATAAATTTTTTAACGAGAGTGAAGTTAGCGAAGTTCTTGTTACATTTGATATACATAGCATATGTAAAAGTGACTAAAAACATACATTTGTTTCCCCTACCCCCATCCTAATTAGCCCAAAATAGGATATTTTATGTCAAAAATTTAAAGTGTTATAAAAAATATTGCCCAAGCTCTAAGAATGGGGATTTTTTCTGAGACACTATATGATATGCTGATTCAGAAAAACCAAAAGTAAATTTTCCTTTACTTTTTTCCCGCTAATTTCCTACTGCACCCAGGCAATAGATAGAAACAGAGATCTAATGCTTTTAAACATGAAACTCCAGATAGCGAGTACATTCATTTATTTCAGTCTATTTTATATTACATAACAATTTTTTAAATATATAACTATATTTTTATAATTATAATACATAAAAAAATTTCCGAAATAAAAATGACATTTTAATGAAATTGGGTTTAATTACCCATTCAGATTTGGCCGGGCACATTATCTACTTTTGTAACTGAAAATCATACAAAAAGGCAGTATGAGAATACATCAAGTGCATCAAATTTAAAAACTGAACGGCAATAGTAATAAATACTAATCTAACATTGTATATGGTTATCATTTATATTATCGTCGGCATCTCATCATTTTGTGATGTTGAAATGAAATAAATAAAAATATATTATAACATTATAGATAGGTATTATTCTATTTTTATCGAAGTTTTCCACACTCGCATTTGATTGTTTTCTTGCACTCTTTCTTATGAATAGGCCAGTGTCTGTTAAAACACTTTAAGTTACAATAGAAGTTTGTGTCACATTCCATTTTGCATGGATGGTATGGAGGAAAAACTGCTTTAGCGCAAGCGTCACAGAAACGAACATCTAACGTCGTTGTTACTTGTGTTGTTACCTGAAAATGGAAAGTATGTATATAATAATGTTAGGCTTATGTTAGGCCTATAATTAAAACTATTGGAACACACACTAAATAAATAAATTTAGAAACGTTATGATTTTTCAAGTAAACTTTGTTGCGTAAAGCCGGTAACTCACTGCGTGCGACGGCGACGCGACGGCAACGCGACGAAGAACGCACGCGAACCCAATGGATCGTCTTTTTAATGAGGATCCGTTCAGATTGCCACTGACAATCAGCAGACGGCGTTGCGTCGTCTATCGCTAGCCGGAAGCAAATGTGGATTCGTCGTACGACGCAGTGTCCGGCTTTAGAAACCCAAATTAAGATATAACAAGTTGACTGCAGAACGAAAGCCTCATTTTTGCATGAGGAAAATGATGTGTATAAAACCAAACCATCGACGTTCCGCATCGACGTTCCGCAAACTATGGTCCGCGGCCAAAATTTGGGCCGCGAAACATTTTTGGAGGGCCGCGAAGCCGTCTTGAAATTGAAAAAAAAAATAATAATAATAAAGCTGCTTCATTGTTACAGCGAATGCGTCGCTTGCACACGCTGCTAAAGTGCCAGATGATGCGTGCTATTTGAGTTATAAGCGGTTTTGTGCCTATGCCCCCTCGGGAGCCTTATCTGTATATTTATTCTTGATAGTTATGCAACATTATTTTCTATAAATAAATATACCGTAAATATACCTTTTTAAGCATTAAATATACATGTCAAGCGCGGATCCAGAGTTTACCCTGGCTTTCGCACAAAAATAGGTTCCCATATTGGGAGAGTCATGAGAAGATAGCTAGCTTGTTTTGTCGCTGGAAGATCAATTTTAGATATTCGAAAAGTTTTTGTTTTCTAGATTCTTGGAAATACACTTCGTGCATTATGAGACGTCTATTATTGAATACACTTTGAATTCACAGTTTTCCTTACTTTGCTATGGACAATTAATAATTATGATGATGAAGAAGATGATGATGATGAGGAGGAAGCTGTGCAAGATTAATTAACAGGCTCTTTGATGTGAAATGTCAAGCGAGGCCCGTAGCCTAAGTTACGGTTGGGAATTTGGAGACATCGTCGTCGTCAACTGTTCAATGCACACAGTCGGACAATAGATGATTTATTGATTTATGATATCTGTTTTGTATAGAAAGTAATCTGAAACCCATTAAATATCAGTTCTGGCATTCATTTATCTGTCTGTGGAAAATATAACATATGAATCATACAAAATAAAAAGAATTCAAATAAAATTAAAAATATGTAAAAAACATCTACACTAAATCAAAATGGAATATTCACTGCCTGTTGGATCCCAGTTTTAGTATTGCAGGGGTTCCGAAGGCCTTACAGTATAACCAATCTCTGTATTTCTGATAGATTGCTGATTAAAATGTAAAATATTTAAGATTTTATATTCAGTACATTCTCAAATGTTATTTAAATCTTATACATGTATATCCCAAAATTACGTTATATTCATACACCGAAGTAGAAAGTTTAACTTAATAATTTTGATATGTTTTATGTTGAATGGTTTTTAATGATATTATTACAGTCTAATATGACCACAACATAAGGAAGTCCTCTCCTTTAAACTTCTAACCTACTAAACTTTGCGTATCTCAATATACATATATATATATATATATCCTTAAATCAAGGAAGTCCACTCGTTAAATTAGCATATATAGTATAGAGAATTTTGTCTGTCAATCTCAGATATCTAAATTTTAGGAAATTACGTCTTATGCATGCACCAACATGAGAACTTTAACCGTACGGTATTATTTATTTAATAAAATAATATTTAATTTGTATACAATAAAATTTTATCACTGAGAGAACAGATAATGATGTCAAAATATTGTATATACATGGAGACTTCATGATCAAAAATTCTTGTCAAGATTTGATATGTTGGTTCCTGGCGCGGCTGGGCTGCTGGGCCGCGGCTTGGTGCCTGGAATCGTAAATAGGCCGTGAAGTAAAAAGTTTGCGGAACGCTGGTATAAATAGAATGGCAGCAATATATTTCAATAACACTTAATTACAAAAAATAAAAAAATAATAATAATAAAAAAAAATAACATTCTGAACAATACAGACGACACACGTCGTGTATTCGTTTCATGCTTGACCTTGGATATTAACACACCAATACAAGAAACATAACATTATTCAAAATATTCATAGCAGTATGTTGTCGCCGTGAGGGAGGCACTTTAAATAGTTAAGTCAGTGTGATATTAAGTTGCAGTTTCTGAAAATATGAACATTTAATTATTGTAGTTACGACTCTTAAAGGGGTGGGGGGGGTATTAATAAATGAAAACATTATTAAAATCGTGTTCTTAACAATATACCTTTCCGTTTCTATTCCTCACTCTTCTTTTAGATTTTTTTATCAGCCGTTTAGTTGGTTTAGAAATCAATCTGTATCTTTCGGCTCCTAGAGTTCTGTCATATTTGTTTGGATGCCAAAAATACTCGTCATCCGAATCAAAATCAAAATCCCAATCTTCTTCGTCGTCTGAACTTTTATCACTATGAATCTCGTCATTGATGTCAGTTTTTACGTCATCTTCCTCAGATGGTTTATCATCTTTTTCCACTTTGTTTTCAGCAATGTCGTCTGCTTCACGTTTAGGGCTTGCAAGTGGTGGGAGAATAGTCTTTTTCCTTCTTCTTCGACGGGGTTTCTTTTTTTTCTTCTGATCTGCATCTGCAATGCATTTTGGCTCTTCATCTTTTTTATCATGAGTGTCAAGTTGCTTTTTAACAGATACAACTGCTTGAGTGACGTTGTTTATATCGGTAGCCCTAGTATTTGAGTTCTTGTTTTCACTGTCTTTCAAGTCCGTTCCAGGTACATTATCAAGGACGCTAGTCTTTGCAATTTTTCCTTCGTTAGCACCTTCATTGGCATTTCTACTAGATATCGTACACTCTGCTTCTGCAAATACCACTCTTTTTAAAACTTTGACCTTTGTAACGTTGATATCTTCTTTCTTACCACGATATGTTACTTGGTAGTGGCGGCCACTCTCCTTTTCTTCAAATATCCATGATTCTCCTTTTCCATATGGCATTGGCATTACAGGAATCTTATTATCAGCTTGGACGTACCTACCGCATACGACATTCTTACGAATAGTGTCAGCAATTGAAACCTTTACAGCATAAAATGTATCCGTCTTGGCTCCATTGTCAACATTAATTAGATTATCTATCGGTAGTGTTGATATTCTAACAGAATACAGTAGCTTAGTCGTCTCATCAAAAACATGGGTATGTGATACTGCTTCATTATATTTTCCAGAAATGTCAGTAAAATTAGGAAACATAAATGGTAAACACGCAAAACGATTTCGTTTTTCTGTTCCTGTCTTCCTTACAATAAGTTTAAACTGCGCTCTTCTAAACACATCGAACGGTTTCTTTTCGGAAATGCCATCAATAGCCCCTTGTAATGAATTTTGCAAATGTTTGCTGTAGAGAATGGCAGAAGATGCGACCACCTTTTCATTTCTCATATCGAACTCAATTTCGCATCGGCCTTTTCGCCGCGGTCCTTGAATTAATAGTTTTTCAGGCCAATAATCATGCTGAGCATTTTGACCAATTTGCGAAATAAAACAACGTGAATTTGTTGGTATTTGACGTGTAAAGTCATTCATAATCACAAGTAACTCGTGCGCAGCATCTCCCCCTTTGAAATGTTCTTTAAGTACAGAAGCAATATCGTCTACCAAACGACCACTTTTATTGAAGAAATTAATCACTTCAGCGTCTTGTTTCTTATTTGGGTAAGCAGAAAGTGTTAACTTTGATTTTTCTGTTTTGTTCCCATTTAAAGCAGACTGTTGATTCTCACGGCTTAATACGTCAACTTTGCTCAGTTCTTTGATGTTTGTCGTTGCTTTCTTTATAGTAGTAGTTGTTGTTTTTGTGCCCTCATGTTGGTTTGATTGTATTGTTTTAGTTTGGCATACACTTCCGGTATTTGCTACTTGTACAGTTGCATTGCTCGTAACGGTCTTCATTGGAATGTCCGCTTTTGGCCTATCTCTAACGTTTTCAGTTTTCTGATGAATATGGACCTTCAAAGGCACATTAGTAGTGTATCTGGCAAGAAATTTCGACGAATCATGACGGATTTCTTTGGCCACAAGAGATTTTATCAGTTCCATCTCAATTTTTGATTTTAACTCTCTAGATATGGGTTTAATCTTTGTAACTGTTTGACATTCATTTTGATGAGATTTCTTATTTTCTGTTCTGGGTTGGATTTCTTTTACATCACATTGCTTCGTCGGAGATAAAGGTACTTGTTTTTCCTTCGTGATATTATTTGATAGGCCTACATTATTGATGTGCATTTTACCACCTCCTTTCTTCTCGGGTGCATGCTCTTCTGCTGACGTCTGAATTCCTTCGTTATTATTTTCCAATTTTGGGTGCACCTTCACATTAAATTTGCTTTTAGATGAATTTTGACACAAGTCTTTAGTTAGCGTATTATTGATCTCAGGTATTTTAGTGTTCTTTGGCTTGATAGTTTCGGTGTTTGTCGTAATTTTACAAGGTTCCACTTCAGGCTTGTCGGATGCAATAATTGACAGCATATTGATGTCTATACTTGACGTACATCGCATGGGCTTACCACTTATTTTATCAGCAACATTCTTTATCGGATTAATTGGGCATTTTATGTTTTTTTCAGTACTTTGTGTGTTCACATTTGTGCTTGTAACTACTTGATGCACCTTTGCTTTGGCCAAGTCACTTCTTAATACATTATCATTTGTTTGGTTTGAACGGTGTGTTCTTTGGATTTTATTTTGAATGTTACATTTTAGTTTGCTTGTCTTTGGTAATTCAGAATTATTCGGTAAAACCCTATTTGAAGATAAAAATGTTGACACTGGATTTAGCAATTTGTGAGTTTGACTTGGACACTTATTTATTTGAGTCTTGTCATCAGCAACCACACTACTAATCTCTTGTGTTTCAACCTCTTTCGTTTGATTTTCCTCCGTTCTAATCCTATTCCTTGGTTTGATGCTAGACATACTAGAAATCGTATGTTTTGAAGGGCTACCATTCTCTAACTTGAGCTGTCCAAGTTTAACCGTAATCTCAGCAGTAATGTCTTCTTCAGCTTTAATTCCAATGTCTGGATGGCACTTTTCTGAGGGAAAGCTGCGTGTATGTTGTGAGGATATTGGATTATTCACTTGGGTTGGTTTTATAATTGGTGATTTTTTAAACTTAGACATAAACACATACTCATATTGCTCTTTGTTTTGTTGGTGTAGGCCTACCGTGCTATTGTGAGTTTGTATGGTACCATTCTTTGTGGTATTCGCTTTTTCTTTATCTTGAAGGCATAATTTTCTATTCATCGGCGTATCATTTGATAAGGTATTGTGCTCAACATTCGTCTGAAGTGGAAGCTTGTCGGCCACGTTTTGTGGCTTTGACTTTAGTTTACTTGGTTTAAAAAGTATTTGCTTAAACTGGGACTTACATTGAGCAGGCTCAGTGCCCAATTGTTTTGTTTGTGTTTTGGGTTGTTCAGCCTTGTTTATGCCAGGGTTATGGCCAACTTGTTTAGGATGGGTCGCCTGTATTTCAGCTTCATAAATAACTTTATCATGGTCCTGGAAATTGACGATATTAAAGCTTTTGCGATTGTCTGTCGTCTCTGCAAGTTGTGTGTAGCTACTCGGTTGTTTAATTTGAATTTGTGAAAGCTTAGAATAACTAGGAATCGGTTCATATTTAGTCAATGTAATTAAGTCGTCAGTACTTTTCTTCTCCAAATTAATGAAGGACTTCCCATCGTTTGATGCTGATACCGAGGAAGGCTTCGAATAATCTTCAATAATAGCAGTCTTAGCTGTGTTATTTCCTGATTGTCCAAATTTCTTCATATTTTTGAGTCGGGTAGTTGCTTTAGCTTTAGAACTACTATTGTTCTTCTTTGTTTTATGATAAGTTCCTTTTGAAATGCTTCTTTCAATAGGACGTTTATGTATATCCGATCCTTTTGAGTCGTCTTCGATTACAGGATTACGATGTTTTGCTTGTTCTGAGGGCTGATTAAAAGGTCTCGATAGCGCATTGCCACATTTAGGCACCAATTCCGGTAGTTCATTGGACAAATTATTAGATAGATGAGCAATTGTAGAACCTTCATCTTCCACTGCTAACTGAACCTGAACAAACATGAAACACTGGGTTAAAGACTCAACATTTTAATGCACTACAGGCTGTTTCATGAGGGGTACTGGAAAGGGAGAAATCCTTATTACTGACTGACATTTTTCCAATCTACGAAGGCCTAAAGTGTTATCTTTCAACAACGTGATATTTAAAGTTTGCAAAGAAACAAAATTAGAAGTATGATGATGATGACACTAGGTTTAGCAAAACCATGACTTAGTAATTCTAGGCCCAACGTTGCGAAGCTATCGACCTCTGAACGTGGAATAGTTGGTGTTTGAAGATACGCAATACTAACAAAATAATTCGGTTTATATTGGAGTTGAATAGCTTAGTGGATAAGATGCTTGCCTTCTATTCCAAGGGTCCTGGGTTCAATTCCTGCTAACAACAACTCATTCCTTTCTCTCACAACTAACAACAACTCCACTCTATAAGCCTGGTTCATAAAGCATTGTTCCATCTTGTCAATGGCGTATTGTACTTAAATATTAAATATTAAGGAAATAATAAATTGTACGTTCTAACAGATCCTTTAAACACTAGTTTCTCAATAGTGCCCGAATTCAGTAGACTCAATCTAATATTTAATACTCAAAATATACTCAGATTTTATTAAACGTATTTAAGAGTACGAATGGAGTGGAGTTTAATAGCTTATTTGTTAAGATGCTTGCTTTCCAGACCCATGGTCCTTCAATTCTTGTCACAGTAACAGGATTTTTTCTCACGACCAAAACAACTCATAATGAAACTTAGTCTATGTAGAGCATATTGTGTGTGTCTTGTGACGGGATTGCCACTTTAACGAGTGATTAAGTTCACTGTTCGGCATATCCTAGACCTTAGTGCCTAAAGCTAAAAAAAAATGATACTAGAAAGTACGCGTATTGAAAGTATAAATTCTATTTATTTAGGCTTATATTATTTTTTTCTTTCTTTCTTTAACGTTATAATTATGTAGGTCTATAGTTGTATTATTATGTGATCATATTTGAATGATATTTCATGTTAATCATTTTACTATCTATATATAAATAATTAGGTACATTTTCATGTCAAGCCTTTTTCCCCTAAGTATCGGAGCAGACAATGCAGCATATAAAACAGACTTTCGTTAATATTAATCTGGGTGATCTTTCAGATGATGAGAGCAAGATATTCATCATCATTCAATACAGATGAAAGAAATGAATCAATACAATGTGACTTGTGTTATTATTGGATAAAATATGGTCTTTAAAGTACATCATCTCTATAACAGAATCCCATTATCAAAAATTATATTTTAAAGACCATAATCATTTATTATTCGTTCATTAAAAAAAGTATGGTCTTTAAAACATCTGTCTCAATAACAGATTCCCATTACTAAAAAGAAATTCAACATCATTAATATGTTCAGCAATCGATGCATGCAGTACTTTCTTGTTTAAGAGATAATAGCAATTACATTTCAGACTTGTCTTAGATTAGGTAGTATATTTTTAACCCGTGGATTGCATTCGTTTGCACATAATTTTCCTGGAGATTAGTAAGGGCAATCTCCGATCCTAACTTTTAAATCATAGCCTAATCCATGGCATAGTCAGTAAATATTTTAGAAAATAAAAGAATTCTACATTTCATCTAATTCAAAGTCGGACGATTTTTGGCCCATTATTTGAATTAGATAAGGTCGTTCATTGTCATAAAAAGCTGCTCTTAAACTTCACTAATGTAGTACTTATTATTTAACTAAGTATCTGTAATACCTCCAGAAGAAGATTATTATTATTAATGCTTCTTGAAAAGTATGCATTTAAAACAATTATATACTTACATTTCAGTTATGTAGATTAATGTAACCTGAACTATCTTTGTGTTTAAATGTGACATTTATACCTGTATTGTAAGACTATATTTAGTTCTCTGCTTAAATATTTGATGTAACTTCCATTTTGTTTTTAAACATTTGTAGGCCTATTCGTTTTTTTGTTTTTGTTTTTTTATTTAAGCCTATTTAAAAATGTTCTTGTTTAATTTGTTTTCAACAAAATATATTGTTTGACTTAAACGTGTACTATCCCATGAAAATGAAACTAAAAAAAAAATCATAAGGAATAATTTTGAATTAACTCGCTCACTTTGCAATAACATACACATTATTAACTTGACTATCGGAATTATTGAATTAAAAAATGTGTACATTATTTTATAGTGGATAACAATACAAATAGATGTGCTTCTATCATATATTGCTGTAGAATTATGGGTAAACATTATTTAAATACACTAACTTCTATGTTGAGGTTGATAAAGTTTTATGTTACTTCAAATTGAGTAAGTTAATTTTTTTTTAAATATGTTTATTTTTAATATATTATTATTTATTTATTTTTTACCGTATTTCTCATGGGACAATGCATCTTTAAGATCATTTACTTATATGAATATTTTAATATTTCTGTGTTAATATCATTCCTCTTAAATTTTGGAGTAATCAGTACAGTATTTAAATTAAAAATATAATACTTTTTCTTAATGTTAGAACTTATTACATACCCAGTTACATAATAGAGAGATTTCGTTACCTCATTTGAGAACCAGTTCAAATAGAAATTTTCCCAAGGTAGTATTACAATCATTTAATATAGAATATTATCAAATGTCATTGGAAATGTTTCAAATACATTCAGTGATTGGTTCTCGATTTATACACAAAAATATGCACTTTTCTTGGTGGATTGATTCTCAAAAGAGATAACGAAATCTCTATATTACTGTATCCCATTTTTAAAATTACAAATTACGTGTACGCTGTGATGCAGAGCTCTCAACTAGATAACATTCAGGTTTAGCGTAAGACCATTGTAATGCAAAAATTACGAAAAAAAATCCCATTATAGATGGATTCGTATATTACTATTCTTGTATTTATATTTTAAAAAAATGTTAAATGTTATTTTTTATTTATTTATTTATTTTTTTAATTTATCATTATACTACTACAGTAACAATAAGTTTTGATTTTTTCTTACTTCATTTCATTATTTATTTGGTCAAACACAAAATGGAGAAAACCATGGCTAACCAAAGTGACCCGAATCAAAAAACAACATAAGTTATATCTTTCAACAATGTCAGACAAACTTAGGTAAATTATTCAAATTAGATAAGGGCATTTATCATCCTAAAGAGCTACTCTTATATTTCTCTAATCATACAGTATTATTATTTATCTGGGACTCTATACCTACAAATATCATATAAATGCTCAAAGAAAATGTACCGCTAAGAAGAAAATGAATCTATTAACCATACCACGCAGCATGAAAGATTAATGTAACTCAGATACCAGAAAAGGTTAACTTATTATGTATTTTCCATTTTCAAAGAACTCTAGTATTTATCGATAGTTACAATTTAATTTGTCAGAAAAAAACCCTCAATTTAGTGTCATCCCAAGTTTCTTTTTTTTTTTTTTTTTTCTGCCCTGTGGGGTACACCCACTTAGGCCCACATCAAAATACGACTAAACTGTAATATTCAAAAAGATAAAAATGGTTTTTTGTCTCTTACGTACCGGCTTTTTTTGTATAAATCGTATATTTCTTCATGCTTACGTATGGTATCGCTATTAAATATTATTTTGTATAATTAAACTGCAACTTCAATTAAACAAAATTCATGCTCTTTTTAGGGAAACGTTTGCCTGACTGCTCTAACGTTCTAGCAATTTACAAACTTTATCGCACACTACGATTGCCAATGTGAGTTACCTATGAAGTGAAGTCACGATATTTAAAGTATTTGTCAGGCTAGACTTGCATTTCATCATTCGAGTTTTTTATTCCAAACTACGTATGCGCGCATATATTATTATTTATAAATTTTCATTTATATTTGCCATGAGCAATTTATTATTGAAACTACTTGATTTCCTCCCCTTTTCTTACTGTAACTTGAAAGACGATGGAAATCACAATAGCGGTGCTGTCAGAAGACCAAAAAAAAACAACCTATAACCATAATAGCGTATGTAATATTATATGGAGTAAAATAGAGGAGTGAGGAAGATAGTGTTTCCGGTTTTTAGTTTTTATTAATTTGTTTATTTTATTCAAATTCAGCTTACAACATAAAATAAACAATAGAAAAAAAGGGGAGGAAATCAAGTGAAGTACACCTACACTAGTTCATCCACCTGAACATAAAAACACACAAAAAATTATATCATTTACAAGTACATTACAATAAAAGTAAATAACAAAATACAAATTAATTATTATATATTATTATATTTAAAAAAATATTAAATGGCTAAGATAGTAAAGCCGGGCAATCTCTGCGCACAAACAGTCGTCGGCCGTGGAAGAACACAAAGCGTTTTCAATGACGATCCGTTCTTTAGTACACTTTAATACTCAAAACATAGATAAAGCAATATAATAAACAATTAATAAGAAAATATATAAAAATATAAAGAACCACATTAAGCAGCCCTAGCAGATAAAAAGCGATCTTTTAAAATATTCCTAAAATTCTCTACTTTGGCATAAGGGCATCTCTAATGTGTACTGGAGGCCCGTCCCATATACGAATAAATCCCGGTGGGAAACAAAATTTTCCAGCATCAACTTTGGACATATGGTGCTTAAAGTTGCGAGCATCTCTAAATATCTTAAATTTAACAGTTAACATAGACCTATCCAAAATGCTGTAATTTGTAACGAAAACAAACGTACAAATTTGCTTTAGTAGTCGTCAAATTGAGCTTATTACTTCAAACTTGTTAAAAACGATTCTGATCGAGATTTTGATTAAATTAAACAATATTATCTCAGGCCTACCCGATCGACTGGAGTGTGCGAAGTGCGAGGTACACATCTCAATACAAAGAGCGCAATTTTTTCATTTAAAATGTCTTTCTTATTAGAGTTCTTGGCATTGATAACCAAGATAAAAAAAATAGGATGGGGCGGATTCGCGAAACAATTACCCTTCCTCGGAC